CAGTAGGAATGAAAGTGATGATATATCAAACTATCAATGTATTGCAGTTGTTTGCTCTACGATTGTATTATATCAATATGATTTTATAATTGTCTTTATTGTTGACAGTATGCATAACAAGCGATAGTTTCAGTCGTTGCAATTAGTCACAACTAAAACATAAAATATATGTAAGAAAACTGTCTTTTTAAGGCCGTATTTCAAATTTATTCATTTGCAAGAATAACAATAACAGATTACAGACTTTCCTGCTGCTGAGACGATATGTTTGCAGTCATATTACCACCCCATCCTACCGGGTACCCATTCCTGGCTGGGTGAACATTGGCATATTTTGAACACTGCTTGCCTAAGGAGAAACCTGTGTTTCAGTGTGTGGCATAACCGAAGCCCAAGAAACTCAGTGTTATGCTGCCTAACACATTACCTCAGTCATCTACTCTCTGCAATCAATATACCTGAACTTTCCCTATTTGTGACCTGTGTGGAGTACAGAAATATGGCATATGTCCAAACATACAAATTTCCCGGTAAGTTTTACTCATTTCATGCAATGACAGACCTTAGAGTTTCTTTGTAGACGTTAATTGCCAAAACGTTCATAGCTGTCACTCAGGTGTGCATTTCATCACTATATCAGATGATCTTTTTGAGGATGATTGATCACGATCATAAGTCCAAGGCTGCGGTACCGAACGTTATTACTGTCTCTGTGGTTCCAGACTCTTGTGTGTAGGGTCATGTGCCCATCACACTGTAGGTGTCAAATGGCTTGGCTGGGACAGCAGCCTCTGTAGCTGGTTATTGTTACCGTAAGTGCAGTTAACGAGTTATCCCATGCAGGGGATGGTGAGAAAGGGATTGAGTTGTGAGAAATTGTGTAACAACATTTTGTTTTGTATTTTATTCCTTGTTCTAAGTATCTTTGAATGGCATTTAGAAGTGATAAACATAAGTAAGAGAATATATGGATAAGATGTCAACTTCTATTATGAGGAACACATCATTTCAGAGTATGAGGCGTAGGTATATATGCTAAGAAACATTGTGTTCCTCATAATAAAGAAGTTGACATCCATACATTAATATTCTCTTTCTTGTTGTAAGTGGGTTTGATGTATATTTTGTCTGGTGCTATCAGACTTACGCGACACTTCAGAATGACATAATTGTTGTCTTGAGATAATATCCTGGATCTGTCTGTGGTATGTACAGTGACTGTTAAATGTTCATCACAGAGTGAAACGTTCAACTAATACTGTAATCCTTGTAATCTAATGCCTTAATGTTTTTACTCTGTACTTGATGTTAACAACAATAATGACACTACTACTACTACTACTACTACTACTACTTCTACTACTAAAGTTACTACTACTACGTAGACTAATCTACTACAACTACTAAAACTACTACTTCTACCAAACATACTACTACATCTGCTATGACTTAATTACTACTGCTACTACTAAAACTACTGCTACTACTAAAACTGCTTCTACTACTAAAACTACTGCTTCTACTAAATCTGTCTACTACTAATACTACTGCTACTAAAACTACTGCTGCTTAGTAACTAATAATTATCACAATAATGATAAAAATAGTGATATTGATAATAATAAAAACAATAATACATTTTGACGCTGCAAACTGCAAACAACACACGCTCAGTAACCCCACCCCACATACAGGACATATGTGAACATTCATTGTGCCTTCTCAACTCCCAGGTATGCAACACAACAGCTTTGAAACAAATAAAGGGCTATGTCAGTATGTGTTCATCTGGGCCAGAGTTCTAGCTATGATTAACTCCACAATTTTGGCAATAGTTCTTTATGCATGTTGTGTTGCATGTCCTGTGGCCATTTTTGGAGAGCTAGAGAATGTAGAGTTCTGCATCAGCTAGCTATGAATAACCGTTTGACATTCATCATGTATACTGCCTACCACTGTATGAAGGTCAGCGTTTCAATATGTATAGGATGCCACAGTGTACGTAATTGTCATGTTAACTCCTGTATTAATATGGAGATAGTTTATCAGAAATCATTTGAGATTAGTTTATTTCCATACAACTGTGGGGGCACGGGTGGCCCAGTCATCTTAGGTGCCCAAATTTGCTGTGCAGAGTTGTGTCCCTTGGGTACGCCAGACACCTATCATTGTGGGTTCGAATCCCGGTTTGCCCCGATTATGTTTCTAGATTTGTCAGCACCATACCCATGGTCGTGGGTTTCACAGAAGTGGTAAACGTCTGAGGCCTGCATCATTTCCAGCTTTCCACCCAGTCCCACGTTAAGCTGACACGCCGTGATATAACTGAAATACTGTTAAAAGCGAAGTTAAACCCAACTCACCCACCCACCCATACAACTGAAATACAACCATCATCTAACTCACTGCTCAGGCATTATTCTGTAACCTTTCAATTAGCTGTTTAATTGTATATTGACTTGATGGTCCATTTAATCAACGTATGGATGTCAATTTCACATGCAATTAGCGTGGTTGACATGCCATGTGGTCAAGCTGATGTGGCCTTTGTGAAATGTCTATCACAGATCAGTGAAAGGGATGCTTGTGTTCAGGACATTTGCAAGCATAAAAGGTTTTATTGTTGTGTCAGGATAGCTGATGTCATGCATCAATTCTGCTGTGTTTAGTAGCAAGCTCAAGCCATCATGTAAATTGACAGTGATCAATAGCATGGCAGTGTTATTGTTATACAGGGTTAGATGTAAGTACAATCTGGGAGGTAACGGACTTGGTTCAACTTGGACTGCTGTGTAGAACATGGACAATAGGTCTTCAGCAACCCATGCTTGCTGTAAGAGGCGACTAACGGGATCGGGTGGTTGGACTTACTGACTTAATGGTTGATGCATGTCATTGTATCCCAAATGTGTGAATTGATGCCCATATTGTCATATAGCTGGTATTTTGCTGAGTGTGGTGTTTAACAAACAAACTGCTGTCTCAGAGTGGGACCTGGTGTGCCAGGCAAAACCTAATCTCCTGGCCAAAGCATCATTCCAAAAAGCGATCTTACTGCTAAGATAGTGGTTTTGTTGTAAGGTGAACTTTGTTGGGTTTGTTGTCAGGTGAACTCTGTTTGGTTTGTTGTAAGGTGAACTTTGTTGTAAGATGAACTTTGTTGGGTTTGTTGTCAGGTGAACTTTGTTGTAAGTTGAACTTTGTTGGGTTTGTTGTCAGGTGAACTTTGTTGTAAGGTGAACTTTGTTGGGTTTGTTGTCAGGTGAACTTTGTTGTAAGGTGAACTTTGTTGGGTTTGTTGTCAGGTGAACTTTGTTGTAAGGTGAACTTTGTTGGGTTTGTTATCAGGTGAACTTTGTTGGGTTTGTTGTAAGTTGAACTCTGTTGTAAGTTAAACTTTGTTGGGTTTGTTGTCAGGTGAACTTTGTTGTTAGGTGAACTTTGTTGGGTTTGTTGTCAGGTGAACTTTGTTGGGTTTGTTGTCAGGTGAACTTTGTTGTCAGGTGAACTTTGTTGGGTTTGTTGTAAGGTGAACTTTGTTGTAAGTTAAACTTTGTTGGGTTTGTTGTCAGGTGAACTTTGTTGGGTTTGTTGTCAGGTGGACTTTGTTGTCAGGTGAACTTTGTTGTAAGGTGAACTTTGTTGGGTTCGTTGTCAGGTGAACTTTGTTGTCAGGTGAACTTTGTTGGGTTTGTTGTAAGGTGAACTTTGTTGTAAGTTAAACTTTGTTGGGTTTGTTGTCAGGTGAACTTTGTTGGGTTTGTTGTCAGGTGGACTTTGTTGTCAGGTGAACTTTGTTGGGTTTGTTGTAAGGTGAACTCTGTTGTAAGCTGAACTTTGTTGGGTTTGTTGTCAGGTGAACTTTGTTGTCAGGTGAACTTTGTTGGGTTTGTTGTAAGGTGAACTTTGTTGGGTTTGTTGTCAGGTGAACTTTGTTGTCAGGTGAACTTTGTTGGGTTTGTTGTAAGGTGAACTCTGTTGTAAGTTAAACTTTGTTGGGTTTGTTGTCAGGTGAACTTTGTTGGGTTTGTTGTCAGGTGAACTTTGTTGTCAGGTGAACTTTGTTGGGTTTGTTGTAAGGTGAACTCTGTTGTAAGGTGAACTTTGTTGGGTTTGTTATCAGGTGAACTTTGTTGTAAGGTGAACTTTGTTGGGTTCGTTGTCAGGTGAACTTTGTTGTCAGGTGAACTTTGTTGGGTTTGTTGTCAGGTGGACTTTGTTGTCAGGTGAACTTTGTTGGGTTTGTTATCAGGTGAACTTTGTTGGGTTTGTTGTAAGGTGAACTTTGTTGTAAGGTGAACTTTGTTGGGTTTGTTATCAGGTGAACTTTGTTGGGTTTGTTCTTAGTGCCTGGTACCATTGACCAAGATCCTCAATATTTCTGTTCTTGTTGGTGCACACACTTAGTCCTCTAGGATTTAGAATGGTTGAACATCATGTTTCAGAATGATTTACCTAAGCATAGGTATCAGTTGTTGTCCAGTTGTATTATTAGCAAACTGTACTTATGCTGAACTGATACATGATTTGAGTAACTGAAAATTTGAATTAATATATTCAAAGCGTGCATGTAACTTAACTGGAAATGTATTATTTATGTAACACATGATGTTTGAACACAGAAGCTGTGTCAATGTAATAGCATTGACTGCTACCATAGTATAATGAAACACATTGACAATACATAATCAACTTTACCTCAAAATCAGAAAAGATTTATTTTTTTTGCTTATATCTCCCAATCGAAGATCCATTTTCAATGTGTCTCACTATATATGTTACTGTTATTTATGTGTGTGGTAACAGGAAATCTAATCAAAACATACCATAATCCACGAGAATAAAGTGATGAAAACAAATCATTTTATCATGTTAACCAATTATGTCAAATGATTTTAATTTTATTCATAGGAATGTTGGCTGTTATCAGCTGATATCATGTGATTTATGAGTGATTAATTATTGATAACAGGTTATAGTTATGACCTTATCAATTGCAGATGGTGAGAAGACCTTCCAGATGAAGAGATAATTCATCGATTTTGGGAGTGAATGATTCAAGGAATATATGTGTTAATTATTGAAGAAGTGGATTCATTAGGGATGAACACAACAGTTCAAAGAGAATTCAAGGATTGATGATTGAACAAGTGATAAACAGGATATGTGAATGATTGACAAGATTGATATGTGAATCATATTCAAGAGGTGGACCAATATCTGCTTTTTGATACTTTGTCATCACCAGAAACTTTCATGGTATTTGGATTAAGCTAAGAAATATCAGTGAACCATCGTTTTATTCAGAAGCCATTTTGAGTGGATTTATACAAATGTACAATTGAAGGAGAGTCATGTATGAACTGTAATATGCAAACCTGAAGAATTTATTTTGTGGGAATAATTCATCCTATTAAAATGTTTCAGTTGTGAGTTTACATAATTATTTCTCACATCTGTTATGTTGGACAGCACAGAAACACAGACCATGAAGCTGTTGCCTTGGGCTCAGAAACTAATTGCTGTTGTCGTCTGACATTTGAAAGTGTCAGATTAATTTGTCAATTAGTAAAGCTGTGTTCTGTTGAAACCGAGGATGCTCTGCACATATTTCTCCCTTCACTGAGGTGACGGGTTTATTTCCCAGCGGAGCGGACAGAGCTTCGTGATGTCTGAAGCAGTGTTCACCTTCGAGACTTTTGTGACAATATTCCTCACTCTTGCCATCATCTGCCTCAACTGTTTGATCCTGATGGTAGCATGCTGGACCGAGTCATTTAGAAATGTCAACAAGTGCTTCTTGTACTCCCTCATCCTCAGCGACCTCTTCCTTGGATTGTTTGTCACTCCGTTTGCAATATTCAACTCCTTGTACAAAGAGTGGGTTTTTCAGAATGACATCTTCTGTTGCATCGAAGCATACCTTGTGGCCATCTTCCTCATCGCCGGACTCTACTCAATGGCTTGGATTAATGTCGATCACTACGTCGCCGTGCGGAAACCCGAACGTTACGACATCATGATGTCAACACCACGCTCCTTGTGTTGGATCGGATTTGCATGGGTGGCAGCATTCTGCTTCAGTTGTCCTCCATTGTTTTCTCTCAAGAAGGCCAAGTATTATGCCGAAGCCTTTGTTTGCATTGTTGATGCCAAAAACCAGCAAGCATACTTCATAACTGCTGGCCTATTAGTAACCGGCCCTGCAGTCATAACACTTATTGTAACGAATGCATATCTTTTCACCAAGGCCTTCAAGGGCAATATCCACTTATACGAGAGAGTGTTCCGAGATAGGAAAACACGGCCATGGAACTATCATATCAACTTTGTAATTTCTCTTGTGTATTCTTTTTGCTGGTTGCCGTTTTGCATCCTTCGTCTTTATGAAGTGAGTACTAACTACGCTGGCTTGTCCCCTGGTCTCTTGCACTTCTATTTCCTCTGGCTGGGTTTCAGCAACGCTTTCCTCAAGTTCTTCATCTATCTGGTGATGAGTCAAGAATTCCGACAAGGAATCAATGAGATATTCTATGCCCACAGTTTGGACTGTGCCTGTGTAGGATGCAAGACAACCAATGATATGAACGTCAATTTTATTACCATAGCAGAGAAATAGATCCTGTTGATTGATTTGCTGAAAGTTTTATGTGATAATGCCCGAAACGGAATCAACAGTCTGGACTCCAAAAGAGGAGAACATTGATTCAGGATTTTGTGGTTTTGTTTCCTGAGAACATGTGTCTGTTCTCAATATGGTATGAGGTGTACAGTTTTCAAGAAACATGCCTGTTTTGTTTTATGGTGTGAGGTGTACACTTTTCAAGAAACGTGTCTGTTCTGTACACTTTTAAAAAAATGTGTCTGTTCTGTGCAGGGTCTGAGGTAAACAGCTTCAAGATGATGTTAATGTGAATATACATGAAACTAAGCACATCTTCGAATGTATTGAGATGTGTATTTAATCAAAATGACTATGTGATCAAAATGTCTGCAGTTAGACACAGATAGCCAACAAGGGATGATGGTTGGCCACAGTGATAGAGATGTATGTGTTTTGTTATTTTTTTAAAGTTTGAAACAGTGGAGAAAGTGGAAATTTAAAATTTAAACAAAAATTATGGCATCCATGCTGTGCAGTTTGCAATAAAGAGGGGATGTGTTTATGGACATTTATTCTGCAAAAGCTCCAAATCAACTTCACAACAAGCAAGATGAACTTCACAATAGCTCTGTTGGTGACACAACAAGTAAGATGAACTTCACAATAGCTCTGTTGGAGAGGCTGGCTGTACAGTGGAACAATGTTGGACAACAGTTGTGTTGACAGTAATATTTTTACCATATTCGCCATATCGCTTTGCTCCAATAAGCTTCTAACCAACTTCCAGACTAATCTGTAAGCAATCCTTATGGGGGCCCTACAAAGACCATAACTTTACATGACAGTCAATATTTTCTTGTGTATTTTATGGATGATTTTTACCGTAGACAGCAGTGAATTGTAACTTACAGGAAAGGTTTTAGTTTTATCAACGTTTGAACTAAGTCAATCTCTGAAAACAGATTTAACTCGTTGTGTATGGTTTTAATAAGCTACCCCCTTGTCATTTTTCTAAGCACCCAGGGTTCTTATTATGACAAATATGGTACATTATATCCTGATCCTGTTCTGTGATGACCTTCTAGTGACCTCACTGTAGCTGGGATAATCGGAAAATAAAATGTAGATAATTTATCACTTTGTAGTATTGATTAGATGTCTTGGGGCAATATAAATGTTCAATATATGTGTGATGAATAACACTGCACACATTCTCTGAAAGTAATTTGACGTGAAAATGTTTGTATGTGGATCAGGTCAGATATTGAAATGAGTCTATTTGGATGTGATAAAGAATTGCTGCGTTGCAATCTGAATCTGGTCTAACATTGATAAGTTGCAGTCTGAATCTCATCAACTATTGATAAGTTGCAGTCTGAACTTCATCAACTATTGATAAGTTACAGCCTGAATCTCATCAACTATTGATAAGTTACAGCCTGAATCTCATTAACTATTGGTAAGTTGCATTTAGGATCTGTTCAATCATTGATAAGCCGCAGCCTGAATCTCATCAACTATTGTTCAAGTCAATTCAATATGGGCCCAAACTGGCCTCATTTCACACAATAAACCACACTACAGTCAGATTCAATATGGGCCCAAGCTGGCCTCCTCATTTCACACAATAAACCACACTACAGTCAGATTCAGTATGGGCCCAAGCTGGCCTCCTCATTTCACACAATAAACCACACTACAGTCAGATTCAGTATGGGCCCAAGCTGGTCTCCTCATTTCACACAATAAACCACACTACAGCAAGGCGCGCAATACACTACAGTCATATTCAGAATGGGCCCTGTGAAGACATAATCAAACAAAAAAACTTGTGCTTGGTCTGATCCCCTTCAAGTCCTCACTACCATCAAGTACATCAGACACCACACTGGTGGACTATACTCATCACATGAGTCTTTCAGGGAGAAACATAACTGCACATAATTGTATTGTTAGGTCTATACTCAAAGGCAAGAGGTTCAGATTTTATTCTTATAATCATTGTGATCAAATCACTGGAGTAATAAATATTGGTAATTTTCTGGTGAAACACCAGTAGATCACAAGGGCAAAGGTATTCAGGTGATTACTGTGTCCATATAATCACGTATAAAACAATGTGTACCATAACAGGAATTTCATTGATCCCAATTGTGTGGATCGATGCTCATGATGTCAGTCACTGGATTGTCTGGTACAGACTCAATTATTTATAGACTGCCGTCATATGGCTGGAATATTGCTGAGTGCGGCGTTAAACAACAAGCAAACAAACAAGCATGACAGGGATATACAAAGAATTGCAAAGAAAAAGTCAATAAAAGTTTAAAACGCCAAGGATTGCCATGGAATTTTAAGATTTCTTCGATGAGAGTTGGCATATTTGATATTAAGGTCACAGAGGATGAGATTCTATTTATCATCCGAAATCATTCTTCCAACTTTTTTGAGTTTGTAAACAGGGATAACCAGTATCTGGAATGTAAAAATTACAGCTAGCCAGCTTTAATGGCAAAGAGGGGCGGTGGGGTAGCCTAGTGGTTAAAGCATTCACTCATTACGCCGAAGACCCGGGTTTGATTCCCCATCGGGGGGACATTGTGTGAAGCCCATTGCTGGTGTCCCCTGCCGTGATATTGCTGGAATATTGCTAAAAGCGGCATCAAACCGTACTCACTCACTCACTCAATGGGAAAAAGATTGGTGATGTAATTTGATTGTGAGAGCATGGTAACAAATGACACCAAAATGATCTCAAAAGCATGGTGATGCAATTCACTGTAGCGATATGTCCTAGATGATATCATTTGACCTCACCAAGCGATATCTCCTATGAAAGCCAGGTTTGGATGATAAATAATCATGTCAATTAATCATTTATGACAATTACAAAGATGTCATGACCAGGTTTGTGGGCCTCTGTTCGCTCCAGAATGAGGGGTAAATATCACATTCAAGTGTGTTGTCACATGAAGGTAAGGTATACTCAAGGGTAAAAGTAACTGTGACATGTTGTTATTGTATAGTTTAGTCTATTTTGAAAACCTGGTATATTCAAGTCTTCTGGGAGGGGGAAAGGGGGCCCAGTCGTCTATTTAGGCACCACAATTCACTGAGCACTTGTGTCCCTTGGACACACCAGAAACCTATGATCATGGGTTCGAATCCCGGTTCACCTGAATTATATTTGAAGGTTTGTGAGCACCATACCCGTGCTCATGTGTTTCTCCAAAGTGGTAAACGTCTGAGACCTGTATCACTTTAGGCTTTCCGCCAGCATTAATTAAGTTTACACGCTGATATTACTGGGATGCTGTTCACAACAGCATTAAGCCCAACTTACTCACTCACAAGTCTTGTCATTCATTGATATTTGTAAATGTTCAGCTGTAACATAATGCTGCTAATGTTCTCCATAGCCAAGGTGTTATTGTGATCTTGTATGCTGAAGAACATGATTAAAGATGCTTGATGTTTGTGAATACTGCCCAAGAGTTTTTATTGTACCCCCAACCTAAAAGGGCGGGGGTATATAGTTATTCCAAGGAATTACGTCCGTCCGTCCGTCCATCCTTCCTTCCGAGGATATTGTTTGGAGTGACCTATAACTTGAAAACAACTCACTTTCTGCCTTGTTTTGAACAGTTTTTCCTGCTGTAAGTTCAGACCCCAAATAAAATTTGTTTGTTGTTTCACACTCCGCTCAGCAATATTCCAGCTATATGACGGCGATCTGTAAATAATCGAGTCTGGACCAGACAATCCAGTGATTGACATCATTGACATCAACGCGATTGGGATCGATGACATGCATCAACCAAGTCAGCGAGCCTGACCACCCAATAAAGTACTTGAGTTTCAGGTAACATGGCCCCACAGAAAAGGGTCAGTAGGTGTTAGGTTTTTTTTAATTTAAGATCTTTTTATAATGGTTAACATTGATGGTTAGTTTAGAACTGATGTTAACTGAATGTTTCTCAAACTTGTAGGCCAAGACTTAGTAGCTGCAGCAATGATAATAGGCAGAAGCATCCAATTTTTGCCCCGAATGTGTTTCTTGATAAATCAGGCTGTTTCCTGCTGTGATAAAAACTATTCGGTCACAAGTAAAGCAGTGGGTCGGTACGGTCAGGTTACCTGAAACACGAGTCGTGGGGGCCTAAAGTAGAACCTCAGCTCAACAAAGGATTCTTGTCCTACTCAGAACCTTAACAGCACAGGTAACATCTTTAGAGCTTATATCTCAAAGCAATGAACCCAAAGTTGAAAACATCGTTTAGATGATTTCAGTGTTTTTTGCGATAATTTAACCACTACTTGATTCTGGGAGATGGTATAAAAATGTTGTCACTTTAATTTCCTAAAACGCTCTTGAATTAAATGTTAGAAGTAAAGTTCAAACAAAAAACGGCTTGGTCAGTTTGTTCCAGTGCGCAGGTGCCGTTCAGGAGGTCCATTTGGGAGAGCTGTTTTTTCTGTTCTCTGGAAACACAGTTCAGGAAAATTCCACTACCTTTTGGAAAAGAGAGAGATAAGCAATTAGTATGAGTATATGATATGAGTAGGAGGATAAGAATAAATGATATTTTACTCCAAAAGATTCATTTTTCAAACATGACATTCTTGCTCTTCTTATATCTTTCTGTCAGAAATGTAAACAAGAGTAAATTGGTACTGTAAGAAATGTAAATGTGTAAATTGGTGCTGTCAGAAATGTAAACAAGAGTAAATTTGTACTGTCATTAATGTAAACGAGTAAATTGGTGCTGTCAGAAATGTAAACAAGAGTAAATTGGTACTGTCAGAAATGTAAATGAGTAAATTGGTGCTGTCAGAAATGTAAACAAGAGTAAATTTTTACTGTCAGAAATGTAAACGAGTAAATTGGTGCTGTCAGAAATGTAAACAAGAGTAAATTGGTACTGTCAGAAATGTAAACGAGTAAATTGGTGCTGTCAGAAATGTAAACAAGAGTAAATTGGTACTGTCAGAAATGTAGATATGTAAGTTATTACTGTCAGAAATGTTAATGTGTAAGCTATTACTGTCAGAAATGTAGAAGAGTAAATTGGTGTGGGTATAAAAATGTTGTCACTTTAATTTCCAAAAATTCTCTTCAGTTAAATGTTAGAAGTAAAGTTCAAACAAAAAACTGCTTGGTCACGTGGTTCCAGTGTGCATGTGCAGTTCAGGAGGTCCATTTGGGAGAGCTGTTCTCTGGAAACACAGTTCAGGAAATTTCCACTACCTTTCAGAAAAGAGAGAGATGAGCAATTAGTATGAGTAGGAGGATAAGAATGAATGATATTTTACTCCAAAAAATACATTTTTCAAACATGACATTCTTGCTCTTCTTATATCTTTAATTTTGCAAAACTCATCCACTCATCAATAAAACAAGAAAACAAATTGGTGTAGCCTGATAAATAATGCTGAAGTCTGATGCAGGATGTGGAGACATTCAAGGACACTTGCACAACTATATTACATGCAAAAAAATACATTCACCGGTCAAGCATTAAGAAAACTCCATTATGCTTTCCTTTCTTCATAGAAATATTGAAAGATGTATGTTAAATAGAAACATTTATTGCAATGAAATATAGTAGTATCAATATATTTGACAGAAAATGGAAGGCATTACCAGCCTACTTAACATAATTTCTCAGTCAATCCAATATTTGTACATACCCATATCTGACCATGTTTTAAGATTCTATGAATTGCTACTCTTATATACCCCATACAAACTTATACTTATATACCCCAATGTTACATTTATGTCTACTGAATTGAAAAAAATATATTTAAAAAAACCAAAAAACTATATAACTTGCCACCAACCCATGCTGGTCAGAAGAGGCATCTAAATGGATCGGTGGCCATGTTCCGGTATGGCGAAGACGCATCATCAAGCATTCACTAGTCCCACTGCTCTTCAGGATGTTTCTTGACATGTAGTCGAGGGCAAGTTATGCTCAGCTGCCAAGGCAATCTGGCACAGGCAGGACAGAAACATGGTCTACGTGATCAGTCATGTGGTATATTGTTTAAAGACAATAACAATAAAATTCCATGGTTACACTGGTACAATGTTGGCTTTTCTTTCTGACTATGCATGCATTCCTTCTGACTTTTATATGTTTGAGTAAAGATGAAGCTTCAGTCAACTTCAGTGTATATGCATGATCAGATTGTTTTATACTATTTCTAAATACTTTACCAGGGTTCCGGTAAAACAGTTTAACATTTACTACCCAGCTTGAGACAGTGGGGAACCGGATAGGGTTGGGTGATAGTGGTTTGGGTACCCGGGTAGTAAATTTGGACTACCAGCCCATGTGCAAATTTTGGATTATGAATACTATTGGATGCAAAAGATTACCGACTTTGTACTAAGCAAAGCCAATTCAATTGAAACATGTACGTAAGAATTCTGGCACTTCTGTTCTAATAAGAAATACAATCTGTTTGGACAATCAATCAAGTAACAACTTCTCAAGGCAGTAGTTAACTTTTTTTGACGGGGGGGCAAATTAGATTATTCATTTTTTATTCAACTTTCACAAGGAAAAATGTTTTCTATAAAAAATCCAGGGGGGCAACTGCCCCCCCTGCCCCCCGGCTGGCTACTGCACTGCTTCTTCAAGGAAATCACCATCTATAACAAGCATATTGACAGACATCACACATTCCTTGTACTGTACATGTTGTATGGTCCAACACTGATCGTCCTGGGTATAATGGTTGGTGGTGTAGCCTGGTGGTTACAGCATTAGCTCGTCACACTGCCTGGGTTCTATTCCCCTCATGGGTGCATTATGGAAAGCCAGTGGTGATATTGCAGGAATATTGTGAAAAGTAGTGTAAAATCATTCTCGCTCAGTTACCCATCTCATACTTGGATCATCCTTGGATTACCTTCTTAATAACTCATATAAGAACCCCAAAAATCTATTACAAGGTACATATGGCTTGAAGATGCCTTGAACGTTAAGGTCCCTCTTGAAAAGCCTTGATTTTTAGTGTCAACCTTGAAAAGCCTTGAAAATAACCAAAATGGCTTAAAAAGCTTTGAATTTGTACAACTTGACATATACTTGTTTATAAAAGTATTAAAATTCATGACAGACTTATTTTATTTTATTTGTTGGTTAAAGTAAATCTTGAAAAATGTGTGATTTTCATGCTGCATTTTATGTCTAATGACTTAACAGAAAGCTGGATTTACAAAAAATATTGACAGTCTAAGGCAAATAATCCAACTAAAAAAGCCTTGAAAGCCATAAAAAGGCCTCAAATTTTAGTGTTTCATTTCTGTATGAACCATGAATCCCCACAAACCACAAATATAGCCCAAGGTAAATGCCTGACTTGCCATAGTAATCTGTAATAGGCACACAGCATTCCTGCATCTTCACATAGCATCTACATAAGTGTGCAGGTGACAGGTGGTAATTGATCAGGCTGGGAAATAGTGTTATGGTCCCAGTGGGGAGCAGATTGATATTCTGTTGGCATCTTGAAGCCTGCTTGCTCTACAATGCTGACTCCAGTCACCAAGGATGCAGGTGCAATTATCTCAGCAGTTACTTGGGTTTAGTCAGGATGTACCCAGGATATCAATTAAACTGATTCCGGACAGTTGTGGTTCCACATTTCAAATTTGAGGGACCATCCATTTGTTCAGGGGTGGTCTTTTGGGTATTTTTAACCTGCATTTTTTATTACATAATGGAGAAATCATGAAAATCTGTGGGTTCCACTTCTGGAATCTAGAAATTCAAGTGATGTTTTCCGACTTAAACTATGTTATGGTTGACATATAATTTCTTTATAATTTTGCATAATGACTTATAGTTGCGTCAGATTTGCTTATGTATATTTAGAATGGCCAGTGAATTCCTGTCTCTGAAACCACTTCAACAACATCAGTGCGATGTCACCACAAAGGTTTCACTCATAGGATGGGACAATAATAAACTTAACATTTATTTACTTTCTGTATCCAAATTATATTTTCCTCCCAAAGTGTGACCATGCAGCCGTGGTCTGTTGGTAATAGTTTTCTGAAAAATCTGTGGGACTTATTGGTAATTGCATATGGGACTTATGGTTAATTGAATAAAGGTACATGCATTTCTATTTTCTTAAACAGTTTATAACATATCATAGTTGTACTTTTGGTCAAAATATTCCTACGGGTTTGAAAATATTTTAGATCTCTTAAGATTCCTAAAGATGTATGACTTGAGCACCTCCTTTGCATGAGAGCTATGTTATAGTGAAGCATCTTCTGATGGCGCCATTTACACATGCATGATATCATTTACTTCTTCAATTACCAGGAATATGTAGAGATGTTCCTCCTTGAAACTGACTGGGATATTCATTTCCTAAGCCAATAGCTAAGTCAGGTTTACAGCAGGGCAGAGGAATGTGATGGAAGTTAGGAGACTTCCTTACCTTCAGAAGGCAGTGT